CTTGGGACAGACCACGGATGCCACTACTTGGGTATATAACTCCGGACGTGGGCATCCCTGGTAGTTACGGTTGGTAACACTTAAATATTTGACCAAGGGAGGGTTTCAAATTAACCGTTGCCATGCTTAGTGGTTGGTAAGCTAAATCTCTTTGGTGAGATTTCGCTTAGTGTTTGGTGAGTTAAATCTCTTTGGTGAGATTTCGAGTGTCATCTAATTTATTAAAATTACTGAAATTATTCTAATGGTTGTAATTTCTGTGTATAATTATATTGTTATCTCATGTTTAGAATATTATTATTTTTCTCTTAAAAAGAATGGTAGGTTGGTTACGTTTTCTTACTGTGTTGCAAAACTCATGGCATATATTTTGTTGCCCTGGCGTTTCATGCCAGATTATGTCGAAGAAGGGATTGAGGCTGAAATTGGAGCTGCTGCCAATATCGAACCTTGGCTGACTTAGAGTCAAGATTTTATCAAAATAAAATCCTGTTATCCCTTGTATTAGGATTTAACTATGTTGTGACGTTGTGTGTGAACTTGTAGTTTTATTTTGTCGTTGGACTTTGACTATGTAAGAACTTAAAAGTTCCTAATTAGTAGTTAAAACTTTATCTAGCAAGTTATCGTTATTTAAATCTTATGACGTTTCAAAAAAAAATTTGGGGCGTCACAAAACGAGCCGAGCTCGAGCTCAGCAAAGCTCGGCTCGGCTCGTTTCGTTTGCAGCCCTACTCGTGAGCAGTTCGATTCATTTGCAATCCTAACGGGAGGTAGAAAAGGAGGCTATGATAGGGTTTGTAGAAAGATGCTAGTAGCCACGGTTATGAGAGGGATTAGGAAGGGTAAGTATGATGATGGGAATGATAATGTTTGGAAGGGGTAAGAGACGAGTAGCCATTAGCAGTTGGAAAGGGTGGCTGTCGACAGGAGACGGTGGGAAGAGAGGAGGAAGAAGAGAGGGGTTACGCAAAAGACAGTAACGGAAAAATTGTAACTTCCATGATTTTACAATTTATTTATTATTATTATTATTATTATTATTATTATTATTTTTTCATGTTTGGCTGAATTTTGTTAGATTCCCCCTTTCTTTAGCAATTATTTCCTCAACCTTCTATTTATTTATTTATTTTTGCAATTATCCCTTTCATATAAATATGTAATATCCTGAGTTAATATTTAATTGCACCTGCTTAAAAGGAAAAAATACATGAGTTGTTATTAATTAATAATCACACCCATTGATGATATGAAAGGAAATCATGGATATAATTGACAACTCAACTTAAGTTTTTATTTAGTTAATTTTCTAGTTTTTAAAAAAATCAAAATTATAAAGTTTTCTCTTAAAAGTATTGGAACTTTAAGTTTATGATTCTTGGACGTAGTTAGTACGGGGTTCCATAAGGTGACAGGTTCCTGCTTTGAAAAAAAAAGCTAGATTTATGGAAGGGTGATTATTCGGTATGTGCACCGTATGATCACGTGTTGTTCATAAGATTTTAATTAGTAGAGAAGGGTAGGTGTTCATGATTTATGTTTGGGATATGAAAACAATATAAGGGTTAAGTAATTAGTGACTGGTTTGAAATATGACCACGTAATGTTTTAGAATTATTATAATTTTATTTTTTGAAAACAACAACTGTATCTTTAAAATTTATTCCACAAATTATGCAAATTTCCTCTTAAGCATGCTCGTCTCCTGAATAGTAACAAAATAATGTACTTTAAATTTGTAATTGTATAATCAGAGCATTTGGCTAGTAGTTGTGTAACATTTTTTGTGATGTGCCGGGTTCAATTATTAGAATTGGAGTAACTGTTGTGTGGGAGGCATACCAGTCACTCTTGTGCTTCCCATGGAGCTCATTTTAGAAACTATTTTAGTGATAAACATCGCTAATTTTTTAGAATATATTGAGTATAATATGTTTGTAAAAAATCAAGTTGGTCGGATATCGATAGCCTCTTGATTTTGTATAGGTATGTTCTACTCAATGTACACTAAAAATTGAACAATTCAAATTATCAAAATGAATTCTAAAATGGGCCTCGTTAGCTGTACAACAATTCTAAACTCCTATAGAGATGAGTTTGATACCTTCTTGTGGTAATTGGTTTATTTTTCCCTCATTATGGAGGTTATATATAATTAGTAGTGATGGAGCCTATTTTGGACTCGTCTCATATGATCAAAATCATTAATTTTATAGGTCCTCCATGAAAATGAAAAAAATTAGTTCAATCAAATAATCGTAACATTTTATTTTATCACATTTTTCTTTAAAAAAAATTACGATAAATATTTTTTAAAAATATACTATTCATTTTTTACAGACAAACATAATATAATAAAAATATTATGATTATTGAATCGATCTAATTTTTTTTTATGAATAATATATATTGATTCATAAAAAATAAAAAATTCAAATTATTAAAGTAAAATTCGCGATCAATATCACACATTCCTCAAAACTGATGAGTCTCACAAATCCCACTTATTCTTTCATATTGGGACGTGACATTTAAATAAAAAAACTCGAACATTTTTTCTATCCGGTCACATTTATATCAACAATGTTACGGATCACTAAATTTTTATCATTAATACCATTACTAATGATGTGGCAAATAAAAAAAAAAAAAAAAAAAAAACTAAAACACAAAACACATGTAGCAATGAGTGGGACCCACTGTCACATCCCTAGTACAACCACTAATTAGTGGTCTGCATCATTTTTTCAATTTATATTCCTAGGGCAAATTAGTGTGAAGTTTGACATTAAGATCTAATCCAAAAAAAAAAAAACTGTATTTTGGTGGGCCTTGACCCAGCTCCCCAGGCCCATCAGTTAACCCTTGGGCTCAAGTTCATTTGACGTGCCGCTTTCTTTTGCTTTTTGTCGTTTGCCTCGCTTCGTTTTATTTGTATCTACTCTTCATTCACTCTCTCTCTCTGCTGCTTGTCTCACCTTATCTCTTCCTCTTCACTCTCTCTTTCTCTCTCTATCTGTTCGATTAACCAGAATGGCGAACGAAGACCCAAAACCCCAATTCGAAAACCCTGAGGAAGAAGAAGAAGAAGAAGACGACGACGACGATGAAGATGAAGAAGAAGATGAGCCTAATCCAGAAGAGCCATTGGCCGATAATCCATCTTCATCCTCATCTTCCGACGACTCCGACTCCGACTCCGACTACGACTCGGACGATTCGGAGCAGCCTGACACCGAACTCGCCACCCGAACCAGCGGAACTACTGTCAACTACGAAGAAATCGACGAGGAGGACAACTCGGAGGAAGCGAATGTGAAGCGATTCATGCAAATCCTTGACAGCAAAAGGATGAAGAGAGAGCAAGACGAGGAAGAGAAAGAGTACGTGTACCACGAGGACTTGTTTGATTTCCCGAGGGATAGAGAGAATTGGAGAGAAGAGGATTTGAAGGAGCTCTGGGCCGATGCTCCGCTTGAGATGACCAAACCCGGTTGGGACCCTGCTTGGGTTGATGAGGACGAAATGGAGGTTGTCAAGGAGGAGATTAAGGCCGGTAGAGACCCTCCCATTGCTCCTTTCTACGTGCCGTATCGGAAACCTTATCCGGCTATACCGGACAATCATTATGATATTTCCAACCCTAAATCAGTGATTGAAGAACTTGATAGGATTGAGGAGTTCTTGATTTGGGTCAGCTACATTTTCCCTGATGGAAGCACGTAAGTGTTTATTGCTGTTGTGTGGGAGGCATACCAGTCACTCTTGTGCTTCCATGGAGCTCATTTTAGAAACTATTTTAGTGATCAACATCGCTAATTTTTTAGAATATATTAAGTATAATATGTTTGTAAAAAATTAAGTTGGTCGGATATCGATAGCCTCTTGATTTTGTATAGGTATGTTCTACTCAATGTACACTAAAAATTAAACGATTCAAATTATCAAAATGAATTCTAAAATGGGCCTCGTTAGCTGTACAACAGTCCTAAACTCCTATAGAGATGAGTTTGATACCTTCTTGTGGTAATTGGTTTATTTTTTCCCCATTATGGAGGTTATATATAATTAGTAGTGATGGAGCCTATTTTGGACTCGTCTCGATGATCAAAATCATTAATTTTATAGGTCCTCCATGAAAATGAAAAAAATTAGTTCAATCAAATAATCGTAACATTTTATTTTATCACATTTTTCTTTAAAAAAAATTACGATAAATATTTTTTAAAATATACTATTCATTTTTTACAGACAAACATAATATAATAAAAATATTATGATTATTGAATTGATCTAATTTTTTTTTATGAATAATATATATTGATTCATAAAAAATAAATAATTCAAATTATTAAAGTAAAATTCGCGATGAATACCACACATCCCTCAAAACTGATGAGTCTCACAAATCCCTCTTATTCTTTCATATTGGGACGTGACATTTAAATAAAAAAACTCCAACATTTTTTCTATCCGGTCACATTTATATCAACAATGCTACAGACCACTAAATTTTTATCACTAATATCACCACTAATGATGTGGCAAATAAACAAAAAAAAAAAAAAAAAACTAAAACACAAAACACATATAGCAACCACTAATTAGTACATCCCTAGTACAACCACTAATTAGTGATCTGTATCATTTTTTAATTTATATTCCTAGTACAAATTAATTGTTAAAGATCTAATCCAAAAAAAAAAAACTGTATTTTGGTGGGCCTTGACCCAGCTCCCCAGGCCCATCAGTTAACCCTTGGGCTCAAGCTCATTTTACGTGCCGCTTTCTTTTGCTTTTTGTCGTTTGCCCCGCTTCGTTTTATTTGTATCTACTCTTCATTCACTCTCTCTCTCTGCTGCTTGTCTCACCTTATCTCTTCCTCGTCACTCTCTCTCTCTCTCTCTCTCTCTTTCTCTCTCTATCTGTTCGATTAACCAGAATGGCGAACGAAGACCCAAAACCCCAATTCGAAAACCCTGAGGAAGAAGAAGAAGAAGAAGACGACGACGACGATGAAGATGAAGAAGAAGATGAGCCTAATCCAGAAGAGCCATTGGCCGATAATCCATCTTCATCCTCATCTTCCGACGACTCCGACTCCGACTCCGACTACGACTCGGACGATTCGGAGCAGCCTGACACCGAACTCGCCACCCGAACCAGCGGAACTACTGTCAACTACGAAGAAATCGACGAGGAGGACAACTCGGAGGAAGCGAATGTGAAGCGATTCATGCAAATCCTTGACAGCAAAAGGATGAAGAGAGAGCAAGACGAGGAAGAGAAAGAGTACGTGTACCACGAGGACTTGTTTGATTTCCCGAGGGATAGAGAGAATTGGAGAGAAGAGGATTTGAAGGAGCTCTGGGCCGATGCTCCGCTTGAGATGACCAAACCCGGTTGGGACCCTGCTTGGGTTGATGAGGACGAAATGGAGGTTGTCAAGGAGGAGATTAAGGCCGGTAGAGACCCTCCCATTGCTCCTTTCTACGTGCCGTATCGGAAACCTTATCCGGCTATACCGGACAATCATTATGATATTTCCAACCCTAAATCAGTGATTGAAGAACTTGATAGGATTGAGGAGTTCTTGATTTGGGTCAGCTACATTTTCCCTGATGGAAGCACGTAAGTGTTTATTGGTGAAATTTTATATTGAAATCTTTGATTGATTCATTTGTTAGTTTGATTGGTTTTGATGTTTTCTTAGATGGGTTGAGTTTTTTTTGTTTGTTTGTTCAAATTTTGTGCATTTTTGTTGAAGTTGGTTTATAAGGAATGTAATTTGGGAAGTTGAGTCAGGTTTAGCTGCATAATGCTCACATAGGGTTTAGGGTTTTGGCCTCATGAGTCTGGGTTTACTTGACTCGTTACTGTACAGTTTGTGCCCTTTATTTTGTCAAGTTGGTTGCTCATTGCTTTCAAACTACTTACTCATAAAACTGATTGGATTGGATGAATGAAGTTGATAAATTGATTGACCCTTGCGGCAATAAATGCACTCTCTACAAACTCAAGTCTATGGATGGAGCTCCTTTGATGCAAATTCTTGGTTAAGTGCGTGCCTGTACCCAATTAACCTTGGTGTTCTTTAGTGTTAACTTGTAAAATTCCTGTTTGTTTAATTACAGTATTATAGCTTTTGCTTGTGTTAAATTTAGTGGTTGTTTGTTGTGTCAATAGAGAGATCTGTGCATTGGCTAGTTAATATTTGAATAAAATTTCATTTGATTTTGAGCTATTGCGCATTTGAATTGAATTGGATGGCTTGAAGCCTTGAAGTGGGCATCCTTCAGGTACATGATTTTTGCTTCAGTTTGTTTTCTCCTTTCTTTTATATGATTTTTGAGTGATTACTTTTTGATGATCGTTGTTATAATCTTTTGCATACTACTTTGTATTCCATTTTTTTCAATTGCAGTTTCATAGAATATTTTTTTTGGTAAAAAAAATGTGGTTAATAACGTCAGAATTAGTCCATTGCTGTTTTTCTGATTCCGTGCAGTTTCAGACCATATACTTTCGTATGGACGTTATGCTTAGTTAGGCTTCTAAGTTGTGCCATACATGAACTGGTGTGCAAAATGTGGTTTATTATTTGGAACACATGAAGGACTCCATCCTTGTAATTGCTCCTATTGCTGATGATGACCCTTTCATTTGCTGTAGGTATGAGGGCACGGTCTGGGATGACTTAGCTCATGGAAAAGGTGTTTATGTTGCTGAGCAAGGACTGGTCAGGTTTGTAATTATTTTTTTTAAAGCAATTACAATACTATTGTCATAATGTTTCTGGAAGAGTATAAGATCTATTCAATCTCTGCTTAATTGGCTAGAATGCGATTAACTTTAGAGTCAAATGTCGTTTTCTTGTAAATTTTTTTATTTTTTATATGGATTATTTAATTCTTATAGGTATGAAGGTGAATGGCTTCAAAACAACATGGAGGGTCACGGGGTGGTTGAAGTTGACATACCTGATATAGAACCTGTGCCAGGGTCCAAGTAAGCCTCTTCTATATTTACCAGTCTAGAATCTAAAGTTTTCTTAGTGAACATTTCTATTGATGTGTGTTCATCTTCCCAGGCTTGAAGCGAAAATGCGAGCTGAAGGGAAAATAATACAAAGAGATTACATGTCCCCGGAAGACAGAGAATGGCTGGAGATGGATATTGAAGATAGTATTCGTTTAGCAGGCGGAAACTATGAAATTCCCTTTTATGAGAATGATGAGTGGATCAGACAATTTGGGAGGAAACCGTATGTTTTATTTTCAAGAGTCAACTACTTTTTATTTCCCACTGATTATCATAGTTATTGCCTCTACCCTCTTATTTCACTCTTTTGTTTGATTTATCATGTTTCAAGTTAATGTTAATGTCATTATCATCACATGTTTGGTTTCCTTCCGCATTAAAAATAATAAAATAAAAAAAATTATTATGCTTTGTTTGATTATAGCCTGGTTGTTTATTGATCAATCCATTCTCATGTCTTGATTTTTTGAAAATTGTTGTATTGACATGCCTGTATAGTGTGAAAAATAGAGGACCAAGTATTTTTCCTATTGAGCAAACGACATTTAGTTTAATTGATTTCAGTTGGTTTCCTATTGATCCAGCATACCCCTCTGGCAGCACTCAACAGAAGTTCTCTGCTTTAAATATTATAGCCTTTACTCCAAATGAGGACCTTCTGCATTCTATTCTTATCCAAGAAAACATTTTTTTTTTTACTTTCTTTTTTGGTAGTGATTGAAACGAGACATTTATGGGCTTATTCGTAATAGTGTTCTGATGCCAGGGAGAAAGGCCGGTACCGCTATGCTGGTGAATGGAAACATGGTAGAATGCATGGGTGTGGTATATATGAAGTCAATGAACGCCCAATACATGTAAGTGCATGAAAGATGCATTATGCCATTAGAGATCAGCACGTGTCTACATCTCTCTGGGAATTAGTTTATAGGTATCATTGTTTTAGATATCTATGCTAGTTTCCTATATCTCATGAAAGTAGCAGGGTTGTACAATTTGGAAAAAATACTTATCATGATTACAAAGTTGAGCACCTTATTTAACTAGAAGATTCATTATCTTTAATAATAGTAGGTACGAAAAATTCAAGACCTATTTGATAGTAGAATTCTAGATCTCCAGTGGATGCTAGGTTAACTTAATGTCCCTGGTCCATGTTCTCTAATAAACCTAATATGTTCAAAGAGGGTAAGGTTAACTTGCATGTTATATTGGCAGGGTCGCTTCTACTTTGGGGAGCTATTAGAAGATCCTGCTGGTTGTGATGAAGATGTTTCGGCGGTATCTTAAGACTCTCTCTCTCTCTCTCTCTGTGTCTCTCTCTCTCTTCCTTGTGGATTTTGTACCAGTTGTGATGATGAAATTTCTCTTATGATTTCATACTCTAGCTGCATGCTGGTATAGCAGAGGTGGCTGCTGCTAAGGCACGGATGTTTGTTAACAAGCCTGATGGAAGTATGTCTTTTCAAACTTTTTTTTTTCCTTTCCTTCCTTCTTCTTCTGGGGTATTATATGATTCTTGGATGAATTTTTATTTGCTAGTCATTAACTTAGGTGATTCAACATGGGGTTCACAAATTGTGTTGCAATGGAATGGGTTTCTCTTAAACCTGGTAGTACTTGAAAACAATCATCGTTTTTATTTTACTCAAGGACATGACACTATTTGTCCCATGGGGGGATTACAGATAATAAATAAATAAATAATTGTTGGATTATTTTATTTTGCTCTTGTAGGATTTATAAACTACTTGTGTTTATTATGCCTTGAAATTATCCAAATGTGTTTATAATATTATCAAAGGCAGGCTGCTAGTTTCCCTTCACACTAGCTTAAAACATGGGCATTGCTGAATTTTGATCTATGACCTGTGTTCGGTTTATGGTTTGCTGTCTTCATATGTTGTATTTTCAAACTCAATGGATCAATTCAATTTGCTATGTTGTACTTGCAAACTTGATGAATCAATTCAATTTGCTTTGAATAATCTATTCGGAAGTCTTTTTTTAGATTGATGGAACATGAATCCATATTTTACATAATAGACTGGTTAATATTTACATCCATTCATCCTGCAATGTTTATTAATTCAGTTAAAATGTTTCTTATTTCCATGTCCCATTTGCTGCTGGCTAGGGAAGAATAAAAGTTCACGATCATATATATACATATATTCCTTTTCAGTGTTACTAGTAAACGCTAATACTCTAGTGATTTACGTTTTGAAACATAGGTTTCAAAACACGGTACGCTTCGTTCCAAAAAGTTGAATTTAATGATCCAAAGCCATCCTCATGTTATTTTTCTATATTTTTCATTTAAAGTTATCCTTAATAGGAAAAAGGTCAAATACAATGAACTAAAATCTAGATAGAGTGGAATTTTGGATTGACAAAATGTAAAACAATGGGTCATAATGCTCATAGAACTGTGTTGTTGAATGATTAATTTGAAGAAAAATACACTATAATATATAGGATGTCAAATTAAGAAATCTATCCATATTGTATCACATTTTAAGTCATGTGGTGTACCATGTTCCCGTTCCAATTCCTCGCACCAGAATGATCCACATTCTAGGTAACATAGCCCTTTTAATTTATTTTCAATGTGATCAACTTGGCCATGATTTGGAAATCGAAGCTATGCTTTCTTTGTGCTGGCTTTTTTTTTATATATATTTATTTACCTTATGCAGATTTTATATATTAGATATTAAAGCTTACTTTCTTTTGGTTGGTTTGCGGCTTCACTTTTCTTCACAATTTAGTTTTACTTCATCTGCACAGTGGTCAGAGAACAGAGGGGTCCATATGGCGATCCTCAACATCCGTATTTCTACGAGGAAGAAGATGTGTGGATGGCACCAGGCTTCATCAACCAGTTCTATGAAGTAAGTTAAATTTGAGTTTTATTGAGTTTCTTTTTTTCTTTTCATTTGCAAGGACTTAATAGTCTCTTCAAGGTACATAATAATATGAGAAGTGATGAGTTCATTCATCAGGTTCCTGATTACTGGAAAACATATGTGCATGAGGTGGATGAAGAACGGGAGATGTGGTTGAACTCCTTCTATAAAGCTCCATTGAGATTACCTATGCCTGCTGATACTAACACTGGTGGTCGAAAGGTACCATCTCCTACTTCTGAACCTGAACACTGGTGAATATACTTTTAAGGCTGTACTTGGATTGTGGATTTGGTTAGGGATTCAGAAAAGGAAAGGAAAATGTGAGGGAAATGAAAATAAAATAAAATAAAATAGAAGAGCTTATATTTCATTCACATATTCCTCACCTTTTTCTATCTTTTCTGAATCCCTATATAAATTCATGATCCAAACACAGCCTAAAATGGTTTTGTATTTTTTATATTGCAATACCTACTTTTTACTTACCTCAGTTTTTTGTTTGTGCCCAACTGCATCTACAGTTTATACACTTGATGTTCCATTTCTGATGAATTACTTCTTTTGCCCACAGTTCTTCAATAGATGCATATTTTGTCGTTGACATATGGCATATTGTTTGGTCAGATGAAAAGCCAGAATTTATTCTCATTAACAAGGAACCGGAGCCTGATCCTGAAGATCCATCGAAGCTCATATATTCTGAAGATCCTCTCATCCTACACACTCCAACTGGACGGATAATCAACTATGTTGATGATGAGGAACATGGGGTCCGCTTGTTTTGGCAACCACCTCTGGAAGACGGGGAAGATGTGGACCCAGCGAAGGCCCAGTTCCTACCCCTTGGATTTGATGAGTTTTATGGACGAGGTGGGACTGCCAAGAAGGATAATATATGGATGCGTCTATTCACAGCAGTGGAAAATGCATTAAAGCCAATGTGTGAGAAGCTAGAGAATTGGACTGAAGAGCAGAAAAAGGCTAGTGAGATGAAGATGAAGCTGATAGAGAAAGAGATTGAATTGGTTGAAGCTGAATTATGTCTAGAGGAGGCAATTGAAGACATGGATGAGGAGTTGAAGAGAATAGAGAAAGAGGAGCAGAAGAAAGTGGATAAAGGTTTGCAAGAGGAAGAAGATATTTTTACTCCAGAAATGACCAGCAAAGATGTAAAAACTTCGGCGACAGAGGAGGAAGGTGAAGCGGATGAGGAGGTAGAAGGGGAAGAGGAGGAAGAGGATGATGATGTTACACCAACGAGTTTTGGGTCTGTAATCAAGGATCAGGATTCAACAAAAGATGACAAGAAGGAAAACAAGCCTGGGAGGTCTCCATTTTCTTCAACCTCGTTATCACCTGTTTCTTCTTCTAGCTTGGTCTCAATGGTGAGTGTGGACTGCCCATTAATTTCCTCGATGCATTATTTTCTATGTGACCATAGCCAGAGAGTCACAAGTTAGGGTTTGAAAAGGAAGCACCTCTCTTGTTACTTGAAGCTCAAACTTGCATTCTCACTTGTGCCTGGACCAACGTCTAGCAGATAAGAATCAAGAGTGAGTAGCCAAACCGTGAGGACGATTTGGGAAAAAATGGAGGTCAAATTTCTCCAAAATTGGATAGATTTTGGAGAGAGAGGAGATGAGCTAGTAGTTACCAATTTTGCTCATACTTTTTATGAGAAGTGATTTTTGTTTTTGCCTTTATTCCTCACATCATAAAGCTTTCTTTATTTTTCTTCTATTTCATTTATCTTCCCCAAACAATGGGAGAGGATAACCCGCTTTTTTCCTCTCCGTTTCTCTCATATATTATTCAAAAAAGGAGAGATACCACTATCCTTTCCTTTCAATTATTTTATTTTCTCTCTTAGTTTGGCAAACAGACTGTTAGTTTTAATTGGTCCAAATGTTTACTACAGTCCATTTGCTTCGCAGGCTCCACCTCAGCTGCAGCAGTTGTTTTCAAAGTGGAAGGAGGGGAAATCACAACAAAAGCTGCTGCCACCACCTTCTTCGAAGCACTCTCCTTATTTGGTGTGTTTTCCACAAAAGAATGGCCAAAATTTGAAACTGAGAGCAGCAAGACACACACAGAGACAAATCAAGGAAATTTCCAAGTCACGTTTAAGAAGCCTCTCAACTCAAAAGACTTCTGTAAACTCCCAAACAAGCAGCCTAGGAGATTACAAACCACATGCTGCAACAGAAGTGGATTTTCAGAGCATACTATCTTTGCACACCAGTTTGGATATCGGTATACAGTGAGTCCCTCCTGCTGTGTGTCCGTGTTGTGTGTTTTGTACAACATAATTGATTTTGTCACAGCATTGTTCTACGGATTAATTTTGTGTACTCAGGGTTGGTTGGCTTTAAGGTCAGCTACAAAAATGAGAAAGTTGAAAATGTTTAGTCAAGATTTCTATACTACAGCAAATTATAATTGATTGTCACATTGTTTTTTCGGGGAAACTCATTTGATTCATGGCATCATAACTCTTTTGTTCTATCTGTATTGAGACTTGATTAATTCTTTTATTGGAAAAAGGTCAAGTGGCCATAGACTGCTTTTCTTTGTTGGGAATAATGGTTGGATTGTATGATTTTAGATCATGGAATTTCACCAGGTATCTTTTGCAGGCTAAGAAACTGAGAGGTCGTGAGTTAGCGTGTTGGCAAATGCTTATCTGCCCTAGCGTTCTAGTGTGGGTTCGAGTAATGAGTATCAGGGTTTGGTTGTGTTTTGCTTCTTCGTTTTCGTTTTTCAGTTTTCGTGTTTTTAGCAACAAAAAATAATGAAATGTTTGAAAATGCATGTGGTTTTCATATTGCTTTTATTTTTTTGCAAAATCAAATTTTGGAATTTAGCTTTTTAGTGATTCTTGGAGGGTGGGTTATTTTCTAAAAACCTTCCCAAAACAATTTTTTTTTTGAACAAATGAAAATAGAAAACGAGCCCTTATACATTAGGTAGGACTTTATCTGCAGTATTGAGAAAATGGGCAGTGGAAAGGTGATGCAGAATTTGGTCAAAATATCAAATTGTTAAAAAAATTAAAAAAAAAATATTAATCATCATCATTTGATACCCAAAGTTAGATGAAGCAATTTGTCATCTAACAATTAAATTTCCAAGGGGTGGAATTTGAAATGCAGGTATCAACATGCTGGATTTGCCAAAGTAGTATTTATTTATTTTTTTAATATGATTAATTACTGGGAAAGCTTTGGTAGAATTGTTACAGAAAACAAAATGTGGGGTTGCAACCCTTGCACATAGAATTGAAACAAAATCGAATTGAATCTATATGCTTAAAAAATGGAGCTGTTAGATTTTGCAGCGATTCTGAGTGAGAAGAGATAGAATAGAAGGTAGAAGATGGAAGTGAATGGAGTTTATGGGAAAGTTGCTCCTTAAAATGTCCAACCAAATTACACTTTAGATGGTGAAAATCTATTAATCCAAAGCAATCACTTGGGTGATCCTATTAAAAACTCGTTTGGTTTAGCTTAATAGTCAATTTTTTAATAAATTTTGTTATCTTATTTTATATTTCAATTAATTTTTAAAAAAATTTTATAGTGAGTTTTTGACTTTTTATTTTTTATACCCAAAGTTAAAATAAAAAATAAAAAAAAAACCTGGTAAGAAAAGAAAAAAGTCAATAATAATAAGAAGAAAAAAAAAAAAGTGATTCCAAACAAGGCGTAATAATGTTGGAAGTAAAAGAAAGCAGAGTGAGACCCTATATATATGAATAATAGAACTGTCAACTGTGGACCAAAGAAATGTTGGATAAGGTGACCCATAATTTTTAGATACATCTAAGGAGAACAGAGTATGACCTAACTGGACATTACAATACAAATTTTCAATATAGCAAGTTACTTTATGTAATATATATATATACAGCATAGATATGTAATTGTAATTTCAAATTTCTTTAAATTAAAAGCCGCTTCGTGTGATTGGAAGATAATGAGACATTTTTTTTTTTGAGTCAAAATTTTAAGATATTAATTTGTTAGTAAAGTTAAATTACAATTAAAGAGGTCGCCGCTATTCTATCAGCTCGAACCCTTGGCATTCCCCATGTGAATATAAGTTTCTGGAATACCTTACATTTCGAGTCGATTTTAAAAAGTGAATTTTTTTAAGAAATTTGTGTAATTTGGTATTAGAGTCAATCACCACATTGAACATGGGATCGTATGCAACCTGTGGATTGGATGAACTGTGACTTTGTAGTTTGAACTGCAGAGACGGACATTTTATAGGCAAAATTAAAATACCTACTAAAATATTGAATACTGATGAGTGAGTGATACTGCCAATGATTGGATTAATGTGCATAGAGAGAAATTATTCAATGTTTTCGAAGTATTATGTGGGTATACTCTTTAATCAATCATCATTCAATATGTCCCCTCATACTTCCTAATCATCCAACACAATACCCCACCTACTCACGTTCTTCATCAATTACAATGTTATGAAATATCACGTGTCTACATTCCGAAATTACTGAATAATTACCCGTGGATAGAATAGTATGGGTTGAATTAAGATACATAGTATGGATAGTATAGTGGTGTAGGTTTGGGACTTAGGAGTTTGCTCCTCTCTAGGTCTCATGTTCAAAACCTCTTAGGTGCTATCAATCCTTGTGTTAGGCTAGTTTATACGGAGCTTTGCTCTGACTTTAAATGGGCCCACGATTGATCTCCCAGGGATTAGTCGAGATGCGCGCAAGCTGGTCCGGATACCCTAGATTATCAAAAAATAAAAAATATATATCATATTGAATTGAAAAGACCTACCATTAGTTTCAATAAAATAGGACGTTGGTTGTGGAACGCGGTGGTATATTTTCATCTTATATCACCTAACACTAAGTTTAATTATGTGAAAATAAATCTCTTAAACATACTTATAATTTTTTGGTATATATATTAATTTTTGAGAGAGAAAACTCCGTAGGGCAAATGGTGGAGATGGGCCCTTCCCTTAATGCAATGTATCTCTAAATAAAAAACAAAGACAAAGGTAGGGGCATTGAAAAGCCTGACTGATTGGAATATGTTGATGGACACACTTTTTTGTTTTTGTTAGTGAAAGCCATTCATATCCTTATTTCATATTTAAAATAAGATTAAAATTTTTATAAAATACAATAAAATTTATAAATTTAATATAATTATATTGATATCATCACTTTATAATAATATATAAACAAATAGAATTAGGTATGAAATATAAACAAACACATAATTAAAAATAAACAAGAATGATTGGTGCCTTGAGGGATAGAGGCGCGAATGGCTCGAATCGTCCTCTCTCTGAAATAAAACGCAGCCTCTCTCTCTACTCTCATTCTTCTTCGTCTTCTCTCTCTCTCCCCTCTCTATTCAAACCCAAAACTGAAGCAGCTCTTTTCTCATCCCTTTTGAAGCAGCTCAGGTTCTCTTATCCTCTCATCCCTCTCGAAGTAGCTTAGGTTCTCTCGTCCTCTCTCTCACTTTCGTCCTCTCGCTCCCTGTCATCCTTCTCGTCCTCTCATCCCTCTTGTCAGTGTGCCGTTCTCTCCATCGTCTTTCATCAAACCATTGGAGCCCTCCTCATCGCATTGTCGTCGTCAAATTACCGAAGCCCTCCTCACTACTGCTGTTGTTGGTGGTTTGGACTCTTATCACATACCAGAAAAACATCTCTATCTCTCTCTCTGGTAAGTCCAGACATCGCCGTACTTAGGGTTTGGATTTTGGCCTTGTAAATAAGAAAATGGGGCTTTGAACTTTGGCTATAATATTCTTAAAAATATTGCGAAAATAAAACTTGTCACGCCCAAAATTTAGACAATTAAATATTAAATTAGAACTAAACCCCAATCAATATTCTATCATCCAAATCCTAGAGGTGAAACAAAAAAACTAAACGCCAACCAAACCATCCACCATAATTTCACAACTAACCAATACCTCAAACATTAAAGTAACAATAAATAGTCAAACTAACTTAAATAATGTACGATTACAAACCATGCTAAATTATCCCAATACTAAAGCCATAAAAAAAAAAAAGTACATAAACTAATATCAACCCTAAGCTCAAGAAAATAAAATAAATCCAAGAGATGTGTCAAAAAACTATAGTTACTCCACGTCACCATTGTAGCCCCAACTAATCCTGCAAAGGAAGCTCGGCTGCGCTCAAACAGAATGCACCCGAGTTGCCAAGAGACAAAACGGGTCAGTATACAGGTATACTGGTATGAGTACAAGATTTAATACCCACATGTCCACCAGACACAAACAAAAATATATTTAATTCTTGTTACGGGACAAAACAAGTAGCTCCAACTGCACCGAGATGAATGGGTAGTTTCCCAAGATACGGTAGCGTTTAGTTTCTTGCCCGTACATAACGAAATATAAATTGATTATAAAATAAACAAAATAGAAATAAAAATAAAAATATAGTGGGTCAGCCCTGCATAAAAAAATTAGTAAGGCCCACCATCCTGCAAAAAAATAAAGTTAGTGTAATTTAATCATAAGTAACTTGCTGAAGAAGTATAAAAATACACTGTTTCATGCTTAAATAATTTGAATTGACCAAAACTCAAAGAACAAAAGTTGTACAGAATCAAATTTCCTAAAAGACATCGCGGACGTATTTAGTAGAAACTAAACAGGTTGAGAGAAAAACTTGATAGAAGAATTTAGACGAAATTCAACCGAAAAATCTGAAACTGAAAATGAACAGAAACTGCCTTAAAATGATTTTTTTCGGAAAAGTTTAAAACACAAAAAGTGTGCAGAATAATGTTTTACTTTAGATATTGCGAAACCAATAAAAATAAGCTCGTTTCGTGGATTAAAATAGCCTCTAAAATCTGCATTGCCAAAATGAATCAAAACTACTATAATCAAGATCATCCGATTATAAGTTATAATCGATCTTTCTAATAAAAAGTTTAAACACAAAAGTTGTCTAGAATCACGTATGCATGCCTTTTCTCAAATTTCATAATTTATCGAGGTAGTTTACTATTTTTCAAGATGTACAAATCAATACAATTCACACTATACTAATAAACTCATAATTAAATTCTTTACTTTAACTCCACCACTTCGGCCTCCACTTCCAGCCTACACATATATATCCCACGTGTCTCCCGTATGGTTTTATACTCACCATATTTTTTTAAAAATCAAAGAATTATTTGAAGAACTATTGGAGCCACTCAAACAAAACCCTAATCTTTTTTTCCTCTTCTTTCTCGTCTCTCTTCTCACGCCACACACAACACTCTGTTTTCTTTGATTAATCTCTCTCTCTCTACCGTCTCTCTGTTTTTGTTCTCTTTTCTTTCTTTTTTGTTTTGCTTCCTAATGCAGCTGTTGTGAATATAACCTAATAGCTAGTATAACCTGATAATATTATATTATATTTTATTGTATAAATACAATATGTAAATATTCTTTATAAAATCAATATATATATAACACTTTTTTTTATATAACAAATATAAATATATAAATATTTAGATTAATTATATATAATTAAATAAC